GTTGCCAAGAGCACCTCCCCCCAAAATTGCCTCCAGGCATTACCAGATGCCCCTGAGGGAAAAAACCACTGGGTTGGGAGCCATCGGGTTAGATTAAGGTGACAGCTTCCCCCTTGCTTCTCCTGCCCCTAAGCCCCTTTCTTGCATGTGGTCATTCACCCAGGGTTCCCCGTCCCAACCCAGCCTTCGACGGCTCCCTATTGTCTACCACAAAAACCAGGCTCCCAGGCCTGGCACTGGAGACATGTCACAACCCGGCTCCAGCTTGCTGTGACTTTTCCAGGAACCATCTCTCTGCTCCCGCAGGACGGAGAGGCAGCTGCCTGAGTCAGACAGGAAAAGGGAAAGGAAGCCGAGGTGTTGATTTCACTTTAGGCATGGCCTCCAGGCTGAAAGTGGCATAAGCTGCTCAAGTGGCATTTTGTGAAGCGTTGTGAGTAGGCGACACACATCTCTCTCTTATGACTGTGAGTGGGCAGTGCTCCCGGGCATCCCAGCAGCCGGAATGTTGTCTTCCCCTTTCCCTGGGGCAGGAGTTTACTTGGACCATGTCCAGCAAAGCCGGGGCGTTGCTGGTACTCCATATCTTTGGCTGCATGAGGAAGTAGGAGGAAAGGAGCCATGGGCTCAGAGAGGGGTCCTGCGATGCCCTGGACCTCAGGGGAAGTGGCCAAGCCAATAAAGCTTGGACTGGGGGGCGGTAGTGCCCATCCCAGCTGACCCTCCCATGGTGGGAGAAAAGGAGGAAGAAGCAGCCATCTGTGGGCAGCTCAGGGCCGTGATGGGAACCCTCTGTAAGTGAGCAGAGTGTTCTTTTCCAGAAGCCGGTGCTAAGCTGCCGCTGCTCTCAGCAGAGAACAGCTGGGTTCGTAGCAACAGTGAATTTAGGAGACTGGAAGCACACTCTGAGAGGGGAAGACATTCAGTCCACTTCGGCAGACTGCACCCGGCCCCTGGGCACCAGCCGCCTGGGGGTGCACGTGGGGCTGTGCTCAGTTAGCCTCAGCCCCGCTCTCCGGCTGCCCATGGCCCAGCGGCCGCTCTGGGTGTGTTTCTGAGTGTTCTGAAGGTGTCAGTCCGCTTTGGACTGATAGCAACGCACGCAGCCATGTCAGCTAAAATCATCCGTGAGACAGGTTGAAAGTGGGGGGGATACACTGTCATAGGACCGACTTATGGGACCTTTCTCTTCCTTTCAGGGGCCTCTCCTCCTTCCTACACAAACCACCAGTCTGTCCTTCCACTTCCCAGCCCCTTCTGCTAATGTTGTGCATTGGCGGGTTCTCTCCTCTTACCCCCACAATGCACCTTCGGCGTTCCCACCTGTGTCCTCCTGCTCGTCCTGCCTCGTGGCCTGTCCAGGAGTCACGTCTGCCCCTCCAGCCCCTAAACATGACTCCTTCAGCCCTCTCTGCCCCCACCTCTTCTATCTCTGGGAGGCCATATCAGAGAAGTGTCATAAGAGCCTATTAAGTAGGTATTACTATTATCCCCATTTTACAGACGATGACACCAACGCTCAGAGAAGTTATCCAAGCTCATACACTTGCAAGTGACAAAGACAATTGGAAAATCTGGCTGCGTACCATGGCTCTGCTCTTGCTGATGCTGGCAGAGGCAGAGCTGGCTCCAGGCTCTTTTAGACAAGTTTAATCATGGGAGAAGACACCTGCCCCTGAGGTTCCTCTTCTAGGTTGTAAATATTAAAACCATAGATCAGCTGCTCCTTGACAGGAGAGAGTGGCAAGAGATTCTTCTTTGTGGCCAGTTTCCAATGACGACCTTTGTGAAAAGACAAACAAAGATCATGCCCCCATGGCGGGGCCTGGGGTGGGGCAGGCCACAGTAGTCCCCGCCCTGACTTTATGGGAACTGGGCAGGAGTACGGATGGAGCCCACAGTGCCGATGCCGCACCAGCCCCCCTGCTCCCCACCCTGGCCTGCATGCACAAGCTGGGTCACTCCCCTCTAGATGGTCCCCCTCATTCCTAGGGGAGTGTACTAGGGACACAGTCCACCCTCAGAAGACAAACCCTCGAATGAGATCCACAAAGGTCCTGGAGTCAGGCTGGGCCATTTGTGGGGGGATTCTGGGGTCCTAGACTGTGATGTAAAGGCACCAGAGAGTGGGGACCGGGAGCTCTGAGCTCTGGTTCCAGCTGGCCACTCTCTCTGCAGGCAGGGTGAGCCCCAGGCACGAGGTGTCCTCCTTGTTGAAAGGAGACTGTTTCTCCTCCAGCTCTGACACTGGCTCACATCTCTGTTCCACCCCCAGCCCCATCCATCCCTCTGCCTTTCCTCCTTCTCTTGGCTGCCTGTCAACCTTGGGAGCCGCATGTTTAATCTGAGTGTGTATTGGAGATGTCAGCAAACCGATGCCCCAGGTGAAATGCGAGAGAAATACATCATCCATTTGTAAACATGTGAAGCTTAAGGAGTCTCCAGGTTAACAAGTTTCCTTGTAACTTTACTGGATGCTCTAGAAAAATATCTGTGAAAGGTAGAAAGAAGACAGGTGCACCAGTCTGGTTTCCATCCCAATTTAAAGGGAGGGAAAAATATAAATTAAAATATTTTTAGGCCGGGCGCGGTGGCTCACGCCTATAACCCTAGCTCTCTGGGAGGCCAAGGCGGGTGGATTGTTTGAGCTCAGGAGTTCGAAACCAGCCTGAGCAAGAGCGAGACCCCGTCTCTACTAAAAATAGAAAGAAATTAATTGGACAACTAAAAATATATACAAAAAACTAGCCAGGCATGGTGGCGCATGCCTGTAGTCCCAGCTACTCGGGAGGCTGAGGCAGGAGGATCGCTTGAGCCCAGGAGTTTGAGGTTGCTGTGAGCTAAGATGACGCCACGGCACTCTAGCCCGGGCAACAAAGTGAGACTCTGTCTCAAAAAAAAAAAAAAAATATTTTTATTGTGTCCTGCTACCTGTGACCCAGCAATTCGGGCTACTGGCCGTGGAGCACGCACACAGGCAGCTGGGTACCCCAGGTGGACGAGGTGAAGATAAAGCTCTTCCCCAAACCTAGACTCGCGTTGGCACCTCTAGGCGTGTGAGCCCAAGTCTGCCAGTGGGACGGGATGCCAGCACGTCACCCTTCTGCGCTTTGTCAGCACAGCCTTCGGAGTGGCCTCCTCTGGCAGAGCTCCTGGGCAGTTTTCCAAAGGCAGGACTGTAGGGCTGTCTCTCTTCCTGTTGGCTCCTCCATCACCATCCTCAACGCAGCAGGCAGTAACTGAGCATTTGCTAAATGGAAAGCGCTGCTCTGGGCACAGATAGGTGTTAACCCGATTATTCCTTACAGCGACCTTGCAAGGGGGTGGGAGCGGGGGTGGGAGGGGATATTTTCTTCCTTTTGCGTAGGAGGGAACTGAGCTGCAGAGAGTGAGCAACTCACCCAAGGTCACAAGGTTAATAAGCAGGCGAGCAGGGATTCCAGCCCGGGCAATTGATCGCCCCAGAGCCCAGCAACGTGACCCAACACGCACGGGTGGGTTTTTAATCACACATATAAGTGAATTCTTGCAATGTGAGAGGAAAGGACAGGATGGGCTGAAATTAAGAAAAGACCCCAAGAGCGGGTCCATGGAAGGTCCTGCAGGGAGGAGGAGTGTGGTTAGGAGCTTCCCAGGTCGCCCTGCCGCTTCCCGTGACAGGAGCTTCCCGGGGCTGAGGCTGGTGTCTGTGCAGCTGGTGCAGCAGCGCCCAGCATGGCCGGTCACCGCCAGTTGCTGCAGCGGACCCCTCAGAGAGGCAGGTGGAGCACGAGGCCGGCTGACTTAAAGGTTCGGTTGAGCTCAGGCTCCTTCATTCCAGACACCTTGTTTGAAGAGAGAGTTTCAAAGGCACGTTCCATGGGCTACTGAGTTGCCCACTGTGGCCTAAGAGGTTAGTCGAGGCCCTGGATACTCTTAGCTCAGGTTCCATCTTACCCAGACGGCCCAAGTTCACAGAGGGAGCCCCAGGTCTGTTCCTGGCCTTGCCCAGAGTAACCACTGCCCCTGCTACTGGGGTACTCCCTGCTCCCTCCACAGTGCCTGTCTCCAGAGATGCCCTCTGAGCACAGAAGTTCTTAACGTGCCCCAGCTTGGACACTCCCCTCCCCGTTCACTGGGGAGCCTCCTCCTCCTCAGCCCCTGGCCAGCCTGTCCCAGCAGGGCCCAAGGCTGCCCACACCAGCCTCCCAGTGGCCTGTGGGTTCCCCTCCATGGCTTGGCAGGGGGTGGGGAGGGACTTCCATCACCACGGAGGCCTGTGCCTTGGCCAGTCCCCCATGGAGCCATCGGCCGAGGGCTGGGCACTCACTGATGGGCACTCACTGATCGAGCCTCCTGAGCAGGCGCTGCCTTCCCGGGTCCTTTCTGACTCCAGGATTCTTTCAATAAGCCCCCTCATCATGGGTCATGCCGGGAAGTCTGGCAGGGGCAGGCCGCAGAATGAGAAAAACGTCAGAAACCGTCTCCTTGCTTCCCCTCTCTCCTCTCGCAGACAGCCAGAGATCAGCCCTCCTCTGGGAATCCTGAGGCTAAATTATTTAAATGCCGCGAAAGCACCAGCCAATGGAAAGTCCACTGAGCCTAAGGGCTTCAGCTTTCTGTGCCTGTTCACACACTCCCCGCGGGGGCTTGGAGGCGATTTCTTCTGGCCTGGCCTGGGGTGTGTGCAAGCCCACATGTTCCCTCCTCCAAAGGCATTGGTGGGCAGGGGGTCTCAGATCTCAAAAGAACCCCCATCCCCGGTACTTCCAGTTTCCAGACCCCTAGGATATTAAAAAGGAAGAAATGCAAAGTGGGCTTTCAAAACGGCAGTTTATTTTAAGCTTTTATGTTTAATCACTTAATGCTTTTAACACAGAGAGTACAATGCCATTGTACTATGGTGATCAGATCATTTTGAAATGCTAATTCATGGTTCCCTGCATGCTGTAGAGTCAAATAATGGGACACAAGGAATGAACCTCATCTTCTTTCCATATCCTGACTGTCTGTTTAGCCTCATTTCCAGAGAATGGCAAGAGTCTAAATTTGAGGTCAGTGACCTCAAGGCAAATGTCTTCCTGGCAGCCTAGCCCTTAGACAGACCCTTGGGCCCTTCTCTCTCCTCACCACAGGTCAAGGAATATTCTGGGCTTACACTCAAGGGCCCACATTCTAGATCACATTCCAGATATGTAGAACCCCAGAATCCCCCACCCAAATGGCCCAGTCTGACTCCAGGACCTGCGTGGGTCTTATCCCAGGGTTGTCCTCTGAGGACGGACTGTGTCCCTAGTACACTCCCCTGGGCACAAGGGGGACCGTTTAGAGGGGAGTGACCCAGCTTGTGCATGCAGGCCAGGGTGGGGAGGGAGGGGGGCTGGTGTGGCATCAGCGGCGTGGGCTCCATCCGTACTCCTGCCCAGTTCCCGTAAATGTCAGAGAGGAGACTACTCTCTGGCCTGCCCCACCCCAGGCCCTACCACTGGGGTGTGACCTTTGTCTTTTCATAAAGGTCATCATTGGAAATTGGCCACAAAGGAGCATCTCTTGCCACTCTCTCCTGTCAAGGTGCAGCTGATCTATGGTTTTAATATTTACAACCTAGAAGAGGAATCTCAGGGGCAGGTGTCTTCTCCCATGATTAAACTTGTCTAAAAAAGCCTGGAGCCAGCTCTGCCTCTGCGAGCATCAGCAAGAGCAGAGCTGTTGGAGAGAGTTGGTTGGGGACCACTTGCTAGTATACGACCTTGGACAACCTCTCCGAGCCTTGGTTGCGTCATGTGTAAAATGGGGATATTAATAATACCTACTTAATAGGATTCTCACGAAGATTAATCTGTGTAAAGTTGCCAGGACAGTGTCTGGCACACCATAGGCACTTAATAAATGTTAGCCATTGGGAATTAACGGTAGCAGCATGGTTAGTGCATCACCCCTGTGCATACGGACCTCTTGCCCCTTTCGGCTCATTCTGGAGGAAGGCAAGAGGGACATATAGAACAGTGACGTTCAGAAGGCCAGAGAAGAACTTCTTGATATGTCTGCAAGAATATATTTTATGCCTTTTTATCATAGAGAATTTTAGATATATGGGTATGTGGATACCGAAGTCGAATAGCGTAAAGAGCCCCCATGTACCCATTGCCAGGCGGCGAGAATTACCAACTCACGGGCAGTCTGGTTCCATCTATATTGCCATCTGCTTCCCAGGGTGAATTTATTTAGTCTAGGTCTTCTCCCAACACCAGCAGTTTGAAAAGGGACAAAAGAATCCTTAGGCAGGAGCCATCTTCCCACTGAGCTGGTGGCCTCACTCAGGGATGAGGGGACAGGGGAAGGCCCAAGATTAGGAGAGAAAGCTGTCATTGTCCAGCAAGTCAGGTCACCTCAGGGTGAAGGTGCGCTGTATGGTCAGGACGGCAGAAGGGCTTGGGCCTGTGGGGGAGGAGGAGGACACAGCCAGGTCCCAGAAAGCCATTAAAGATGTTCAGTGGACCGTGGCAGTCAGGAGAGGACCTAGGTGGGACCAGGGCGGGGCTGGCAGGAGGCGGGCAGGGCAGGTGCAGACCAGGAGGCGATGGCCGCCATGTCTGCAGGGGCCTGGCCTGTTCAGGGGCCTTTTGCATTCTTAGGCCAAGGAGAAGTAGCCCACACGTGGCCTGGTTCGGAGGCTGACGTCAGCTGGTTGGCAGGGATTTCGGGGAAAACAGATGCTTTCACAGAGTCCTGCAGCTTCCCTCGGGGGTCCAATTCGGGAATCATCTTCTTTGCCCCTGCCAGAGGCAAAGGGCAGATGTGATCCCCATTTTATAAGCTGGGGAAAAACCTCTTGTCCAGATTCACATTTTGACAGCCATTATGGCAGCACTTTCTGCCCTCCAGCTTAAGAATGCAGGAGTACTTGTGGCTTCATAAGCCACAGTTACTCCGATCTCTGGCACTTTGGAGGAAATATGTTGGAATCATCCCTCCTAATGCACCTCCCAGAATGCCGCTTTTCCCTGTGCCATCAGGTCTCTGCTTGTCAGTCTCATTTCTCGGCTTCTCTCCCTGCAGGAGTTCAGGAGCCAAATGACCTATTACACTGGCATGCTAGGGCACATGTACCTCTTGAAATCATGTGATTTCTCATAATTTTCTTCCCTCAGTTCTTCATCCCCTGCCCTGGAACCTTTCCTGGCTCCCTTTGTCCCTCTATCTGCCTCTTGGCATAGCGCCCATGTGCTCAAGACACTGACTAGGACTCCCTTTCAAAGAAGAGGGCACGTTCTAAAGACAGCTGGTGGGGAGGGATGCCCTTCCAGGTGGGGAACAGACTCCCCTCGAGACATTCTCTCCAAACACAGAAACTGGACCACACAGCTCAGCCGAGATGTTGTTCGGGCTCCTGTCCGAAGCCCAGAATTGTTCAACAACTCCCAGGGGCAGCCGGCATGGCCCAGGCCCAGTCCCCTCCACGGGGTGTGGGGTGGAGACTTCCATGGGGCTGTGACCTTCAACTCTCTGGCACTTGAGTAGCATTTTCCAAGGTGACCTTGTTGACAGCCAGTGCCTGCTGGGACCCCCAGGACTTCTTACAAACTGTACTAATCATCACGTGCATGCTCGGTCCAGTGCCACTTCTTAGATCCTGAGCGACCTTCCTGGCCTCTTCCTCCCCAGGTGTGGGCCTTCACATACACCCAGCAGATCCTCCAGGAGGAGCTGTGCCTGTCAGTTGTCACCTTGTTCCCTGGTGCTCCTGTAGTTCTTGCCCTTTGCAAGAATGAAGATGCCAGACAGGTAAGTGCTCAGGGGGCTTCTGGGGCGTGGCCGCCTTTCATAACGTGACTGCCTGTGTGGGCCTAAGTTTCCTGCACAAGACAAGAGAGAAACTGTTATAAGAAGAGTTAATAAGAGAGAGGTCCTTGTGTTAGGAGAGGGAGAGAGAGTGCCATCTCGGATACCCTCCCTGGTGCCAGAAGCAATGGCAGGGTCAACCCCTGCGGGACAGCTTGCCACATGAAAGCCTGTTGACCCAAGCTGACCATACCATGCCCATTCTTGTGCTGTCCTGTCCTTGCTCTGCCCCCCACCTGGGATCGCAGACAAAAATCTCCAAGCCACAAGGATGAGTGAGACTCGACCCTTTGCTTTCAAAGCCTTGGGCTCTGGCAGTGTGTCCACCAAAGTTCCTAGTGTTCTGGATGCACCGAGTGCCCAGTTCCCCTAGCAGCAAAGTGGTGGCTGCCAACTGGGTACTGGCATTAGAGAGACCGAGATTCAAATGTGAGTTTTATGGCCCATTGGCTGTGTGACCCATGGCAGGTTACTAGACCTTTCTGAGCTTCCGTTTCCTCCTCTGTGAAATGGGGTTGGTGATACTCACTCTGCAGGGCAGCTGAGATGGTCTCCATGCAGTACGGAGCTCAGTGCCTGCTCAGGGTCTTGCCCAAGATGCGTCCAGCCCCTCCCTCCTTGTCACGCTGGGTGGAGTGGGGAACCGCAGCGTGGGGCCTGCCTTGCCGCTGCTGCTGTCCCCAGCCTCCCCAACTTCCTCGTGACCATGCAGATACCGCGTGTGGATCGTTTCTGTGGTCGCTCCTGTGACTAACTCACTTCAGGTTTTCTGGCCTATTGCTTGGAAAGTTATTGCCTCCTAATGATCTTCCCTAGTAAACATATTGATTTTGCTTTTAACTTTTTTTATCCAATTAAACAAAAAAACCCAACAACAATACCTGGCAGAACAATTAGTTGCAGTTTTAGTGCTCCATGAGACCGTGAAATCAAGTCTCGGGGTGACCCCAGACGAGCAGTATCAACCTTTCTGAGATTTCCAGAACTCCCGATATGATCAATGGGACCAGGGGATCTAGCCAGGGAAACCCAGTTCATCCTCTCTCCTCTCTGTCCTCTCAGCAATGGACCAAGACCGGTTCCCGCATCGAGCACATAGCATCCCGCCTCTGCCTAGACACGGACATGTTCGGTGATGGCACTGAGAACGGCAAGGAAGTCGTTGTCAACCCGTGTGAGTCCTCACTCATGAGCCAGCACTGGGACATGGTGAGCTCTTGAGGACCGTTGCCAGACACAGCGTGGCCCTCGCGTGGCGCTTCCCTGGACCAGAACAGACTGGAGCAGCCCACGATGACCCCAGACACCCTGACTGGGAGGTGGAGGCAGAGCCCCCAGTACAGGGGCAGCTGTCTCAGGGAGGAAACGATCGCAAGGCAGTGGGGCTCAGAGACAAATCCCACGTGTTCCCAGTGCTGTCAAGTTCCAGCGCTGGCCAGCTCTCCCCCCGAGCGATATCTGGACACAGATCTGATGGGAAGTGTGTGTTGTTCCCTTTCTTACAAAAGAGGCACCGTGGCGGCAAGAGAGAAAAAACCTCCTTGTCACCAGGCCAGGACTAAACAGAGAGATGAAGAATGAGGGTTTTTTCCAAAACAAATAAAAATAACCTTAGAAGTTGTCTCTGGGTCTCTTACTCTGTTTCCTCTGATGTGGGCTCAGGGCTAAGCTGAGTCCTCCACTGGATGGAGGTGTGGGGCGGGGGTGTCTTGTGGCACAGTGGACAAAGACCACAGGGAGATGGGGAGGCCGGTGCCCTTGTCCTGGGCCACCAACCAGCCATGTGATCTTAACAAGACATGTGACTTCTTTGTCCCACCACTTCCTATTATGTCAGAGGGGGGCATAGGACCAGATCAGTGGCTTTTGCTGATGACATACATCTGACGCATTTGGGGAAATTGTCTCTAATTCGGAGGCCCTGGGTTCCCCTGTGGAGATCCTGGTGTAGTAGGTCCAGCACAGGGGCCAGGTGTCTCTGCGGATGACGATGCCCTCATTGGTTACAAACACCTTATGGTCTGTGGCCATTAGCCTTGGAGTTTCTTACTCCAAGAAATCCCCAGAGTGCTCTGGGAACTGGTGATGGTGGCTGTCCATTCTTACTAAGGTTTAAGAGAAGAACCAATTCATATTGCTTTCAAGTTCCCAAAATATGCCCATACATTCTCTGCCCAGGTAAGTTCACCACGTGTTGATGAGTATCTTCCTTATCCACTGCTGCATAACAAATTACCCCGAAACTGAGCAGCTTAAAGCAACACATATTTATTGCCTCCCTTTTTCTGTGGGTCAAGAATCCAGACACAGCTTCATAGGGTCCTCTGCTTCGGGCTGTCTCACAAGGCTACAGTCAGGGTGCTGGCCGGGGCCGCAGTCATCTCAAGGGTCAGCTGGGGCAGGCTGTGTCTCACGCCCACTCAGGGGTGGCTGGCAGGACTTTGTTCCGGGCAGGCAGTCAGCCAGAGGCCGCCCTCAGCTCCTCACCATGTGGGCGTCTCTCGCTTTGCAGCCTGTTCATCAAGGCAAGCAAGCCAGGAAGGCGAGACGCCAGCAAGATGCAGAAGTCACAGCCTTTCACAACCTCATCCCAAAAGTTGCCTCCTCTCACTTTTAACATCTTCTGTTTGAGAGAAGCAAGTCATCGGGTCCAACCCAAACTCAAGGGAAGAGGAGTGCACAAGAGAGTTAATGCCAGGAGGCAGCTATTGTTGGGAGCTGGTTTAGAATCCACTTGCCACAGTAACTATTATATTCGAAGCAGGTATCCATCTCCCCTTCATCCAGAAAGCCCTTCAGTGATGGGAATTTGTTCAAGCTCATCATTATAAAATCCATTACCGCAGACTGCGCTAGACTTGGAGAGCGAACAGCTGAGTGTGTACAGACCCGACCTCTGTGGCTGCGTTCATGTGTTTGTGCAGTTCTCCCGTTGCCTGCCGGAGGTAGAATGTGGCTGTTTTGTTGGAGCCATTTCGTGCCACACTGGGCTAAGGCAGGCAGGCCATGGCTAGATAAAGCTGTCTACAGAAGACGTTCTGGTGGCTCCTACACTATGTGTCTTCGGAGTTTAAACCAGCCCTGCAGAGAAGAACGAGAACCTTCCGCCCAGTAGTGAAGCAGAAACTGTATGAGAGTAAATACGAGAGAGCCTGGAACTGTCCTCATCTGTCTACTTGTTGCCCTCAGCGTATGTGCCTGTCTTCGAGCCCCCAGGTGGCAGTGAAGATGTCTCCAGCCTTTCTTTATCCCCAGCACTGGGCTGGGCACCTCTGCCTCTCAGTGGACGTTTTCCTAAGTGGATGATTGACAAACTATTCCTTGTCCCAGGCGAAGTGACTTTACTTACATTTTGCGACCCCTATAAAGACACAGAATGCAGGTGGTCTTAGGTTTCTCAAACACCCAAGGGAAAGGGGACAGAGGAAACACTCCTTATCTCAAACCCTTTCGATGTGGCCCAGCTGTCCTGCTGATGTCCCTTCCCAGGAAAAGACCATGGGATAATCATGAAGAGTCACCCTGAAGGACATGGAGGGTAACGTGCTAATGGAGATGCAGGTGGCTCACATGCGAGGTGCAGGGCGTGCATCCTGAGGCCTCCTTAGTGGAAAATGGAAGTTAAAAACTCTGGTGATGCACATAGGAATCCCATAACCATGTAGGGTTACTCGAATGCTCTATCCACTAACCTGATGTTGATGCAGCCAAAACGAGAGTAGTTGATTTAAAAGCAGGCATAGTAGCAGCAATTCCAAAGCTCCACCAAGTCAAGACAAAGCCAGCAATAACCTGATAGGACAGTGACCCGCTTTAGTCACAGGGACCCTGTGGCCTGCATTCATGCAGCACAGAATGACCATGGCCAGGCTTTGCCTGGCTGTCAGTTCTTTCGGTGGATGTTGAATTAGAGTCCGCAGTCAACTGTGAACATTGAATTTGAATGCCAAGTTTTAGTAACCTGGAATGGCTGTGAGTGAAGGTGAAAGTTTGTCAAATGACATCAGCCTATGAGAATAAAAAAGACCTATACTCTGGGGACCTTAAGGGTTCACACGATTTAGATTCCGAACCATGCTTGGAGAGTCAGCACCCTAGAACAGTCTCACCTCACTGCCAGGTGAAGAGGTTGGCCAGGTGTGGCAGAAACCCCCTCACCCAGGGTTACATCTGGCTGGTGGGAACCGATGTGAACAATATGGGCATCTGAGTATTGTATTGGTGTGATATGCGTATTAAATGAAAAGGAATTTATACATGTTATATATATATGTATACATATATTCTCATGAACTAGGAGGAAAAGAGATGGGGGCTTCAGGCATTCTCTGAATTAGAGTTGGAGGCATGATGGTGTAGAGTGGGTGGGGAGAAATGGGAGTTCTTAGGCAATCTGAGCTCAGCGTGGGTAGCTGAGCTTGGTGCCATGTTGGATCTGAGATACACTCCCAGAGCAGACTGTTTCCTTATGTGCTTTGTAATTTTTCCCTGTGAGCTCATCTTCAGTGGGAGCTTTTTCCTCTCAGCCTCCCAGGTACCCTGGTGGTGGAGACAGGCCTCGGGGAAGGTTTACATTTGCCTCTGCTGGGGTCCTATTGATTTTCATTGGTTCCAAACAAATCTGTACTCTGCTGGTACATTGATTTCACAGTGCATGATGAGAATTTGGACCCACGTTTATTACTTGGCACAAGCTTGGATTCTGATCTTTTGCAGGTTGTCTTTTTTCTACCCAAAACTTCAGTCCTGCTCCATGCCATCAGCACTCACTCAGCTGGCAGATGGGTTTGTCTAGCCCCTCCAAGCACCCAGCCAGAGTAGTGTCTCCTTTCTGGGCTCTGCCACCCATGAGGCTATGGTTTCACATCTGCCTCTGCTAGAGTATTAAAGCCCCAGCCCTGGTGATACACATCTGGCTTCAGTTCCCCTTCAGCTCTCATTCGCCACTCTAAATTTGAATTCCCACTTGCTTTTGGAATCTGGAATTTCTCCCTTTTTCTGTTCAAATGCAGCTGTGATGTTTTATCCAATATTTATATGTGTATGGAGGAGGGGGCTTCCTGTGTTAGCACAGACCAAAATCCCTGAGTGCTGTAATTAGCTGTCACTACTGTCTTTCCTGATGGCTGTGCGACCGTATCTTACTGTAGACACTCAATAAACTTCTATGAAGGAGTGAGAGAATAAGCCTGGGATTCTTCAGTATCACTTCCTAATTACCTCCTGGCTACAGTTATCAGACATTAGAGTTTTCAAAAGACAGCAACGGCAAAAATGAAGGACCGAGAAGACAAATTTATAACAATAATATCTCGTTATAATACACATAGATTTAGGGATCATACATATTTTACTTCCTAATGACAGAGTTTAATACTGAGAATGCTAACTGGAAGGAACTATCGGTAATGGAAATCTTTAATACTGCAGAGGAGCCCAGCAAAAGAGAATTCGTTTCATAAACTCTGGAGGATGGTGATGGAAGGGTGGGCGGGAAGCCGTGTATTTCATCGGCAAGAATCTCAGGCACATGGACTGGCATCTGGCAAGCTGAGCCCTGGCTGGCCTTCCCAGAGAGGCTCACCCTGTACCTGCAGTCCACCGTTCGTGGTTTAACCACAGTAGAGTTAAGTCTTGCTCCTCCCCAGTCCACGTGCTGAGCCACCGTCCTGTCCTGGCCCATCCATTCTCTTAGCACCTGGGACAGCATCTGGCACGCAGAGGAGGGTGAAGGTTTGAGGGCTGGATGCGAGCTCTAGCAGCTGTGCAGATGGAGTGGCCTCTGGGACACCCCATGCAGCAGCAGGTGGGAGCCTCTTCCCCCTGCTCCCTGCCCCGCCATCCAGAGCCAAGCTCCCGAGCTCTCTCTCGTGGTCTGTGGTCTCTGGCAGCCCAACTCGGATTAGCAAACTCCGAAGCTCTAAGCGCTTTTCCATTTGCTGTGGAGCCGACTAATTTAATGAAGCCGTCACAGTGCAAACCTCAGGGCTTATTGGAAAAGGACTCGAGCACGACATTATTTCACAGCAGTAGATTGTATCATTTTCATTTCACAGCTTTCCAATGGGAAATAATAAAACAAAATTACAAACATAATGAAGAAAGAAAGAAGGAGAGAAAAAAAAAAAACCTCGGGTGAGAGACGCATCCCCTGTGCTGTGACAGGGCTAGTAACCTTATTCATTTGAGCCGGTAAATGCCACCTGGCTTCACGCTGCACGAAGGACCAGCCCAGGGTGGCTGTGCCTGCTGCTGAAGATAATAGGCTGTGGTAACTCACTGCCCAGATGTAGCAAGGACCTGGGGACACCCCTGGAGATGGCAACCGATGGCCCGCCCAGAGAGTCCAGCCTCCAAGAACACAGCCCTGCCTGGGCCAGCCACTGCTCAGTAGTGGAGGGCTGCCGTTGGGGCGGGGTGGGTGTGCGCCCCCAGTGCAGGGGTGGAGGGCTGTCACTGCGGTGAAGGTGGGTCCTTCCCTCTGGAAGACGAAGCGGCTTCGCCAGTGGAGCTTCCCCCATTCTTGGAATGGAGGCAAGAAAATGGATCCCTGCCCCATCGGTCCTGCGGGTGCTTTTGGTGTGACAGTGGGTGACCTGACAGCCAGGGGCTACACAGAAGTCAACAG